GGCTTTTTTGGGTCACACCTGGCGATGCACAGGGGTTACTCCTGGTTTTACACTCAGAAATTACTCCTGGAAGTGCTCAGGGGACCATATGGGATGCTGGGGATCGAACCCAAGTCGGTTGCATGCAAGGAAAATGCCCTACCTGCCATACTATTGCTCCAGCCTCCATCATATTTATTTATTTATTTATTGCTTTTTGGGTCACACCCTGCGATGCACAGGGGTTACTCCTGGCTCTGCACTCAGGAATTACTCCTGGCGGTGCTCAGGGGACCATATGGGATGCTGGGAATCGAACCTGGGTCGGCTGTGTGCAAGGCAAACGCCCTACCCGCTGTGCTATCTCTTCAGCCCCCATCATATTTATTTTTTAAAAAATTTTATTTATTTTTAATTGAGTCACAGTGAGATACACAGTTACAAAGTTATTCATGATTGAATTACAGTCATATCATGTTCAGCTGTCCCTTCATCAGTGTGGAGTTTTTCCCACAACAAATCTCCCCAGTTTCCCTCCCAGCCCTGCCCCTCTATGGCAGGCATTTTTCTTCTTTCTCTCTCTCTTGCTCTCTCTCTCTCTCCTTTTGGGCATTATGCTTTTCCAATACAGTATATTGAAATACTGTCGCTGTCACTGTCCCTGTTCTCCCCTTGTTCATTGATTTGCTCAAGCGGGCCCAGTAACGTCTCCATTGTGAGACTTGTTGTCACTGTGTTTGGCATATCGAATACACCACGGGTAGCTTGCCAGGCTTTGCCTTGTGGGCTAAATACTCTTGGTAGCTTGCCAGGTTCTCTGAGAGGGACGGAGAGTTGAACCCTGGGTGGCCGGGTCAGCCGCGTGAAAGGCGAATGCCCTACCTACTGTGCTATTGCTCCAGCCATATTGAAATACAATAGCACTGTCCTCCCGTTGTTCATCGATTTGCTTGAGCAGGCCCAGTAATGTCTCCATTTTGAGACTTGTTGTTACTGTCTTTGGCATATTGAATACGTCTTGGGGAGCTTGCCAGGCTTTGCCGTGTGGGCGAGATACTCTCGGTGCTTGCCAGGCTCTCCGAGAGGGGTGGAGGAATCGAACTCGGCTCGGCCAGGCTGGCTGCCTGCAAGGCAAACGCCCTACCGCTGTGCTATCCCTCCAGCCCTGAAGTACAATATAAATAATATATATTTATACATAAAAATTTATTTTATTTTTGTGTGTGTGGGTGGAGGTGTTAGCACTGAGGTATCTCCAGTGGATGACCTAATCTACCACAGAGTTCTTAGATGGAATCCTAAAATTATTTATGGCTACAAAAGGTTTTTTAAAAATCTTTTCTGCAAAGAACAATTGACAATAAAATAAGATAAGCTATAGGGGCCAGAGAGCCAGGGCAGTGGTTCAGATACAGACCGTGCATATGGTTGACCCTGGTTCAATCTGGTTTTCTTCCAGAGGTCACTGCTGAGCACAGAACCAGGGCTACCCTGACAACTTCCAGGAGTGGCCCAATCCCTACCCCCTCAAGGAATTTCATAGAATCTTCACCCTTACTTGTCACATAATCCTGTGACATACCATTTGCAGTGAAGTTTCTCCCTAATACATCTCACTTAGGTGCAAAACTAAATTTTAAATTTTGTCTTTGTTACTAGCTCTGAGCAGAATTTCAATGGCTTTGAGCCATCAGTGGAACTTCAATCCAAAAAGATCAGACACAAGGCATTCATTCTCAGTCTGACTCTTTTTTTTTTTTTTTTTTTTGCTTCTTGAGTCACACCCAGTGATGTCCAGGGGTTACTCCTGGCTCTGTATTCAGGAATTACTCCTGGCTGTGTGGGGATTGAACTTGTGTTGGCTGTGTGCAAGGCAAACCCCCTACCCGCTGTACTATCACTCAGGCTCCGGTGTGACTCCATTTATGACATTAATGCACCCCACACTTTGAATCTGAATACCAAACGGCTGATTGCTGATAACCACATCATCTTTGGCATATTTTTCTCTTAAGACTTCACTCTGCCACTCCACTCACATCTGTATTCAGTCTCTCCTCTTGTTATTTATTTATTTATTTATTTGTCTTTTCCTTTCTCTTTTAGCTTCTGGTAACGCCTCAGACATGAAGTTAAGGCCACTTTTTTTTTTTTTCGGTTCACACCCAGTGATGCTCTGGGGTTACGACTGGCTCTGCACTCAGAAGTTACTCCTGGCAGTGCTTGGGGGATGCTCAGGATTGAATTCGGATCAACTGCGTGCAAGGCAAATACCTTCCCTGCTGTACTATCACTCTGGCACTACATTCTTTTTTTTAAAAGTTTATTTTAATTTAATTTTTTTATTAAAGAGCTGTGATTTACAAAGTTGTTGATAGTTAATTTTTTTTTTTTGCTTTTTGGGTCACGCCTGGTGATGCACATGGGTTCCTCCTGGCTCTGCACTCAGGAGTTACTCCTGGCGGTGCTCAGGGGACCATATGGGATGCTGGGAATCGAACGTGGGTCGGCCGCGTGCAAGGCAAACGCCCTACCCGCTGTGCTATCTCTCCAGTCCCATGTTGATAGCTAATTTTAAGAAATAGAATATTTCAAAACCAATCCAAATGCCAGTGTCAACTTCCCTCTACCAGTGTTCCCATACTCTCTCCCCACCCCCGCCCCCCACCCCATTCCCACCTGTCAACTTGACAGGAACATTAGAAAGTTCCAGTGATCACACTTTATTTATTTATTTGTTTGTTTATTTATTGCTTTTTTGGGTCATATCTGGTGATGCACAGGGGTTACTCCTGGCTCATGTACTCAGGAATTGCTCCTGGCAGTGCTCGAGGGGCCATATGGGATGCTGGGGATCAAACCCAGGTCAGCTGCGTGCAAGGCAAAGGTCCTACCCACTGTGATATCACTCCAGCCCCCCAGTGGTCACACTTTAGATTTCATGCTTTCAGTGTTGTTGAGTCTGTGTGGATACATGGCTGTATCACCCATATCACCAATATAACTGAAACCCTGATGTCCATTTACCCATTACTTCTTCTTCTTCTTTTTTTAACCCATTACTCTTATTCTCTTCTTCCTTCCGCCTTGATTTCTTTCCTTCTCCGCACTTCTCCTTTCCAAACACCGGTGTCAAGGATGATCTAGGCACCCCCCCCTTTATTACAGTACAATTCCTCATCCTGTATTCTATATCCCACAGGTAAGTGAGATCATCCTGTGTTTGTCTTTCTTCTTCTGGCTTACTTCACCCAATATGATCTCTTCTAGTTCCAACCAGGTTGCAGCAAATTGTATGAGTTCATCATTCCTTGCACCACATAGCATTCCATTATGTATCTATTTCACATCATCATAATCCATTCATCTGTACTGGACACCTAGGTTGATTCCATATCTTAGTTATTATCTGAGTGTATCAATAAATAATGATGTGCATATGTCCTTTTGAGAGTGTTTTCATGTCCTGGGGGCAGATGCCCCAAAGTGGAACTGCTGAGTCATATGACAGTTCAATTCTAAGTTTACTGAAAACTCTCCATACTATTTTCCGCAAGGGTTGTATCAGACAACATTCCCAACCAACAGTCAATGACAGTTCCTTTCAGGCCAGAGCGATAGTACAGCAAATAGGGCGTTCGCCTTGCATGCGGCAGACCCAGGTTTGATCGCTGGCATTCCATATGGTCCCCCAAGCACCGCCAGGTGTAATTCCTGAGTGCATGAGCCAGGAGTAACCCCTGAGCATCGCTGGGTGTGACCCAAAACAAGCAAAAAAAAAAAAGACAGTTCTTTTCTCACCACATCCCCACCATCACAGATTGTTCCTAGCAATTTTGATATGTGCCATTCTCACTGGTGCAAGATAGTATTTCATTGTTGTCTTGATTTGGATTTCTCTGATGATTAGTGATGCTGAGCATATTTTCATGTCCTACTGAAGACCATTCTTTACATATTCATTTCCTGTAAGCATTCTATTCTCAGGGCATTCCTGTTCTTTAAGATACTATGCATTAACGCTTCTTTCTTCCCTCCCTCCCTCCCTCCCTTCCTTCCTTCTTTCCTTCTTTCCTTCCTTCCTTCCTTCCTTCCTTCCTTCCTTCCTTCCTTCCTTCCTTCCTTCCTTCCTTCCTTCCTTCTCTATCACATCTGTTGATGATCAGGGGTTACTCTTGGCTCGGCATTCAGGAATCACTCCTGGCAGTGCTCAAGGGACCACATGGGATGCTGGGGATCAAACCTGGGTCAGCCGTGTGCAAGGCAAACACTTTACCTGCTGTACTATCTCTTCAGCCCCATATTAATGCTTCTTGTTTCTTCTTATCATGTAATATCTTGTTCTTATTTTTGCTTTTTGTTTTGTTTTTAGACCACACCCAGCTGTATTCAGAGTTTTCTCCTGGCTCTTTGCTCAAGGATCATCACTCCTGGCAGTGCTCAGGGAATCACAGGTATTGAACCTGGTTAACCACATGACAGGCAAGCACCCTCCCAGTTGTACTATCTCTCCAGTTCTGATATTTTCTGCTTGACCATTCATACATTTTTGATATTAGACTCAGAAGTGGCATGAAGGTCCTTCTCACAATGAAATCTGTCCCTGATTTCCTCATCTTGGCTCCTGAACTGGAGAAGGCGGTATTTAGATTTGTAAGAAGCATAAAAATTTTTTCTCTGATTATCTCTTTTATTTTATTTTTTAAGGGGCAGGTGCTATTTCTGCTGTGTGTTTTTGGAACCCCAGAGTATATTCCCAGAAGTGGCATTAATGAATCAAATAGGAGTTCAATTTCTAGTTTTTTTGAGGAATGTCCATATTGTTTTCCAAAAAGGGGGGATCAGTCAACATTTCCACCAACAATGAATGGGAATCCCTTTCTCCCCATATCCGCGCCAGCACTGGTTGCTCTTGTTCATTTGGATGTGAGCCAGTCTCTGTGATGTGAGATGATATCTCATTGTTGTTTTGATTTGCATCTCCCGATGATTAGTGATGTAGAGCATTTTTTCCATATGTCTTTTGTTTTTTTTTTGCTCTTTGGGTCACACCCGGCAATGCACAGGGGTTCCTCCTGGCTCTGCACTCAGGAGTTACTCCTGGCGGTGCTCAGGGGACCATATGGGATGCTGGGAATCAAACTCGGGTCGGCTGTGTGCAAGGCAAACGCCCTACCCGCTGTGCTATCTCTCCAGCCCTTCCATATGTCTTTTAGCCATTTGTATTTCTTCTTTGAGAAACTTTCTGCTCATTTCTTTTCCCCTTTTTTGATGGGGTTGGATGTTTTTTCTTGTAAAGTTCTACCAGTGCCTTATCTCTGATAATCTCTTAAAATGTTCCATGTACATGTCACCAGATGACCCAGAATCTCTTCTAGCTATTTATTCTCAAACAATAAAAGCTTGTGGAAATCAGAGAGAGAGACAGAGAGAGACAGAGAGACAGAGAGAGACAGAGAGGGAGAGAGGGATATATATATATATATATATATATGAGGAAAACAGACCCGAACAGGCTAGAAGGCAGTGAGTTGGAGCTGTCAGGGGCAGCAGAGTCTGGGGGACATGGTATAAACATGGAGTACATTTGGGATGTCCCTAAGATGGTCATAGCCTGGCTCTGTAACCTTGGAAACCCTGGCATGTCCTCCAGATGTGGCCCTGAAGTGGTCCAGACCCTGCTTTGCAAACTGCTTGGGAATTGCTGCTTCTGTAGTTTCCTGCCAGATGCCTGCAAAAGCCCTCACCCTCATCAGATATTCTAGAAAACAGAGCTTTCAACTTTGTTCTGGGCCCAGTTCAGGGGCACAAGCTCAACTGGATCCACTAGCAAAATAAAAGAGCATTTCTCTATTTCTCAAGATGTGCAGCTTGATTTTTTGCTGGATTTTTGAATTCCACAACAGTGTAGGAGTTAAGGAGTTTGCCTTGCATGTGAATGACCCCAGCACCACGTATAATCCCGTGAGAGCCACCAGGAGTGACCCCTGAGCATCACCAGGTATGGACCAACACTCACTTTCCCAGAACAAAAGAAATAAAAACTTGTGCTCACACCAAAATCTATACATGACTACTTATACTTTTGGTTTTGGGGCTACACTCAGAAATGCTCAGGGCTTACTCCTGGCTCTGTGCTCAGGGATGACTACTGGAGAAGTTTGAAGGACCATATGCAGTGCCAGAGATTGAACTGAGGTCAACGTCACACTCTGTAAGTGCACTACGTCTTGTACGATCTCTCCAGCCCTATGCGTGGATCTTTACAGCATAATCATGTTTATTCATAATCTCTGCAAACTGGAAACAAATTAAATGTATTTTGGAGCTGAATGGGTGAGTAAATCTTGGCAGCACCACACAATCAAACTTGTCAGCAATAAAAAAAGACCAACTATTCACAGGCAGCTTGGATGAACCTCAAAGAGTTTGGTGAAAGAATCCAGTGTCAAAAGGTTACACTCAGGCCAGATCCATACAGCAGTGGGGAGGGTGTGTGCCTTGCATGTGGCTGACCTGGGTTCGATTCCTGGCATCCCATATGGTCCCCTGAGCACCACCAGGAATAATTTCTGAGTGCAGAGCCAGAAGTACTCCCTGAGCATCGCCAGGTGTGAGCCCAAAAGCTCTCCCCGCCCCCCAAACATTCCTCCAGTTTCCAGAGTCTGTGGACACACAGCTTTATGGCAAAGGCTTCTGGAGTGTAAAATGACACATAACTCTCTCTTTCTCTCTTAATTAAATCACTGTGAGATACACAGTTATTTGGGTTTCAGTCATACAATGTTTCAACACCTGTCTCTTCACCAGTCACATAAGTCTTCAAAGTGACCTCCATCTATGTCCTGTTAGAACATTTCAATTTTATTTTATATTTGTTTTATTTTTTGCACACTGGTGATTCTCGGGTTTACTTCTGGCTCTGCACTCAGGAATCATTCCTGGTGGTGCTCGGGGGACCCTATGGAGAGGGTCCGTTAGAAGTCTCTTTTCTTTGTTTTGGGGGAGACAAACCTTGCAGTTCTAAGGACTTACTCCTGGCTTTGTGCTCAGGCATCACTCCTGGTGAGGCCGGGGAACCATATATGGTGCCAGGGATCCAACCTGGGTATGTTGCACAAGGTAAGCATCTTACCTGCTGCACTGTCTCTGGGGTCCTAGAAGATTCTTAAAGGCACATGCACACAGAGGAATGAGTTTGACACTCAACTTGGGTGTTAAAAATTGTGCTACAGGATGTTATTTGATGAATTACTCTCCTTCCCCTTCATTAAGAAAGAACTCATCCATTCATGAATTCACAGATGCAAAAACACACAGTAGAGGAAACGAACATACTTATGAATCACAGAGGTAAGAAACCTGAAGGTTCTGGAGGACCAGATCTCAACACTCTTCTGAACCCTCTCCCCACCCCCCACCACTTTATTTAAATCTTGTGCCGCTTTGGAAACTGTGGGGCAGGGTTTATGCAGCACTTGGCTGAGAAGCACAGTGCTCTATGGGGGACTGGTGTGTTTGCCTATTTAGAATATGCACTCTTGAAGGCTATCACTTTTTTATTTTCTAAATTTTGGGTCACATTCAGAGATGCCCAGGGGTTACTTCTGGCTCTACACTCAGAAATTGCTCCTGGTGGTGCCCAGCGGGACCATATGGGATGCCTGGGATCGACCCCAGGTAGTAAGCTCACTATATGCTGTAATGTATCTTCAGCTCCAAGACCGTCACTTCTAAACAAACATGTAATCACTGACTTGAGAGTAAGTAGGTGGTTCCCAGTCTTTGAGAGCAGATCCCAGATGCATCAGATAGGGCCCACCCTGCAGAAACCCACAGAAAATTGAGTTCCTGAACCTACTCAGGAGAAGGTGGACACTTGCCTGTGTGAATGAGTGTGCACACACACAAATACATACACACACCCAAACATGCACACAAAAGGTCTCCGCTGCGCTGGGAGCTATGTCTCTCACTGTCAGTCTGATTCCTATCCCTGATCCTGCCTAGAATGGAACCAGTAGCTGTAGTTGGTGATGGTGTTGGGGTGTGAAAGCATTGTAGTGAAGGCAGGTGAGCACAAAAATGCCCTGGACAGAGCTACTTGCATTCCTCAACAATACACTAAATTTGTTTTCACTTGAAGGAGAGGTGTTCTATAAACCATCTGCAGGAATGAGCTTCCTTTTGCATGAGAGTCCTTGCCCAAATCTTGCTTGTACAGAGTGGAACCTCAGCTATAGAATCAGGGCACTATGAGCCCCAACACTACCGCCAGTAAAATGCATTTAGGCAAGAACACTTCACATCTTCAAGGTTTGTGAGCAGTAAGAGTCTGTAATGCTTTTTAGCATGGGGCTAAAAACACCAAGTTCAGGGTCAGTAACTCATATCCGGTATTGCAGTTATTTTTCACAGCAAATCCCTAAGGCTCCCTCCCCTGCCTCTTTTCCCAACTCCGAAGACCCTCTCTAGCAAGGGAATAGTTTGTTCCTTCTTCCTCTATGCAAGCCCCCAAAGCCTCTTTCTCTTGCTTCCTAAGGCTTCCACTTTCCTCACCCACACACAATCTTTAAATTGCCCCGCCCTTCACCCTTCCCATCAGTTAGCTCCTCCCCTTCTGGCCCCTGGAAACCACTATCCCATCCCCTCCCAGGCCCAACCCCTGCTCAGCGTGGCTGGAAGCTCATGGTGTAGGTTGGTGGGATGGTGGCGAAGCCCACGTTTTTGGGGGACACATCGATGTCTTGGGGGGCCTGTGGGGACTTGAAGCGGAAGTTCTGCATGATGGTAGTGAGGAAGAGGAAGAGCTCCATCCTAGCCAGGCCTTCTCCAAAACAGTAGCGCTTTCCTAAGGAAGGGAAGCAGAAGTGATTGGGGAGAGGTCCACATGCCCTCCACTTTCGCCAGGGTGCTGGATCGGAATAGCTGGGCCCCAGGGCTTTCAGTGCTTTAGTTCCTGTTGAGGCTGAGATGGGCATATGACCATGGTAGTAATGGGGATGTCACAACCATGTACAAATAGGTGGGATGCACTGCCGCCTTCTGCCTAGGGGTCTGGAGGATTTGTCCAGTGGCCTTGGACAAATCTCAGACTCATCTCCTAAGCGGCACACTCCTCCCTTTCTGTGTCAGGGGGCTAATGAGGGCTTCGGGTGTGGTCTATGGGCTGCAGAGAGATTTTAGGCTACACTTTAGGGAGGGGAGTGGGGACGAAGGCAGTCCTGTTGGTGGTGGAAAGTGACCAGGAGGCAGACAGGGTTCTCTCACCAATGGAGAAGGGCACAAAGGCATCATTCTTCTTAAACTGGCCATTCTCATCCAGGAAGTGCTGGGGATAGAAATCTCGCGGTCTGGCGAAGAACTTGGGGTCCCTCAGCACGGAGCCCAGCATAGGGAAGACTTCGGTACCCTGAAGGAACAGGGAAAGAGCACTTGTTTTAGTTTTGGCCCTGCAGTGCCGGGGAGCAAACCAGGGTTTGCTATATGCAAGACAAGTGCCTTGTTTTTCAGGTCACAGTTCATGATGCTCAGGAGCTACTTCTTGAAGTGCTCAGGGGACCATATGGGATGCAAGGAGTCAAACCTGGGCTGCTCGTGTGCATGGCAAATGCCTCTCTCGCTGTACTACTGCTGTGCTACTGTGCTCTCTCTCCTGCCCCTGAGGACGGGGCTAGATAAAGCTTCAGAGAAGGGATTCGCTGTGTTGAAAGCACTTGGTGTTGGGGGTTCTTTGAGGAAGGATCTTTAGTGGGCATTTGATCAATATCTCCAAGACAGGAAGTTTGGGGTCCATGGGGATCTCTCTTTGGAGACAGAGGGGTAAAGGAACTTGGTGGTTCCTGTTTCCTGAGGCCAGGGCTCTGGGGGAGATACATTTTTGGGTATCCCTAATGGGAGACTGAGGGAAGGAATGGCAGGGGGCATCTCTGAGTAGGAGACAAAGGCTGGAGAATGCCTTTGCTTAAGGGACGGGGAGCTGCAGGGGTACAGAGAGCAGGTATGGAGGTCCTAAAGGCTGGGGTCAGACAGCACCTTGGGGAGGAAAAAGTCGCGGAACTTGGTGTCCTTGGTGACTCGGCGGGCCAGGCCCATGGGGATCATGTCTCCGAATCTCTGGATCTCATGGATCACGGCCTCCACATAGGGCATTTTGGCTCGATCCTCAAACTTGGGCTGGCGGTTCTTGCCAATCACCCGGTCGATCTCCTCATGGATCTTGGCTGGGGAGAGGGGACAAAGTTTCCCTTTAGTGGAAGGTAGAGCTGGTAGGTGACATGCATGTTAGCCAGGTATGATGGGGCCAGTGACCGTGTCACGGCTAGACGTGGGCCACGTGCTTTGTTGGCTCAGGGCCCTGGTTTACCAGATCATGCCAGAATCAGAGTCTGCCAGGAGGCATGTTGCAGGGAAGGGCAGCCAAGGGGGCCCCAGGTGGGCTCAGCACAGGATCTATTTATCAATCAGTTCTGACACAGACTCTTTGAACAGGGGCTATAACTCAACTTGTGTCTCTGCCGGCTATCTGCAGGGTCTCTGAGGCCCTTGGAGTCAGGCGGGTTTTGAGGGTCTGTGGGGGCCCCTTTCCTGGCCTCCTCCATCCTTACCCTCCACATCGGGGTGCTTCATGAGCAGCAGGAAGCCATAGCGCATGGTGGTGCTGACTGTCTCAGTGCCCGCGAAGAAGAGGTTCAGGGTGGTCATCACCAAGTTCTTCATGTAGAACTCAGTGTTGGGGTTCTTTTGCTCCTGCAGGGAGAGGGAAGCTTCAGGTCCTACAGTCACTTTTGGCTTTGCCCTGGCATCCACCAGTCTTGGATACAGATTGGGAGAGGGACCTGACCCCACTATGCCATTCTCCCTCTGCACTCTAGGCCTCTGATGCTGGTTTTACCTCTGATGCTGGTTTTACCCAAAATGCTCTTGGTTGTTTTTTTCTAGCCTGTGTGAAATTATCATGTTAGTTATCCCTTGGAGGAAGGTGGGTTGAGTTTCCCTTCCCACCCTGAGCAGAGTCCCGGCAGCTGAAGACCTTCGGTTCCAGCCGCAGCCATGCTTAAGACCACTCTCCACACGTTTGGATGAGCCTCACACATGAAGGAACCTGCAGAGGAACCCAGGTGTGCGGGACCTGGGGCGTAGATCTCCAAGCCTGCTCAGATTGGGACTGGGCCTCCTCCACCCAGATCCCCCATCTTCCAGTATGTAGGTGTTACACCCACCAACTGCCCTTGGCGCCATGTAATCTCATCAATGGCCAAGACCCAGAGACTATAAAACCCTGCTCCCAGACATCTTATTATCTAGTTCTTACTCTGGAGAACCTGGCAGGCTACCAAATGTATCCTGCCCACACGGCAGAGTCTGGCAAACTCCCCGTGCCAAAAACCAATAACAATAATGGGTCTCTTTCTCCTGTCCCTGAAAGAGCCTTGAATGTGGCACTTTTTAAAATCTCAGGGCTAGGACGAAGGAGAAGTTACTGGGGCCTGCTCGAGGCAATCGATGAACAAAAGGATGACAGTGATACAGTGATACAGTTGTCCTTGTGTTAGGAATGTTTAGAAAGACAGGTCAGGTCAAAGGTTGGAAGCTTGCCAAGTGTGTGTGGCTCAAAGGTCAGTTAGGATGGAAAGGGGTCAGAATGAAAATAATAGTTGGAAATGATCACTCTGGACAAGAACTGAGTGTTGAAAGTAGCAAAGGACATACATGATAATCTTTCGGTATTTGTATTGCAAACTATCATGCCAAAAGGGAGATAGGCGGGGGCTCTTGGGACATTATATTACTGAAACCCAATCACAAACAACTTGTAACTCTGTGAACTGTATCTCACTATGATTCAATTAAAAGCAAAATGAAAGAGAAGGCAGAAGAGAACGACAAACAGGGACCAAGCTAGATGATGGACCCAGATGGCATGAGAGGACTCAAAGAAACCTAGATGGATCTTCCTAGACACAACTTTGTTTTGTTTTCTTGTTTTTGGGCCTTTGTCAGTGCTCAGGGTTGACTCCTAGCTGTGTGCTCAGGGATCACTCCTGCCAGGGCTCAGGAGACCATAAGCAGAGCTGGGGATTGAATCAAAGTCGGCTGCGGTCCAGGCTGGTGCTCTGCCCGCTGCACTATTGCTCCAGCCATGACACAAACAGTCAAAGCGCCAATACCTTGTTCTCATGGGTGACATCATACCCTGATCCTTTCCTCTGGACTTTCCAGTTCTATCCAGTGTTCTATCCTGTCCTAACCCATGGACACTGACACTTTGGGGCCACTGAGCACAGTTGTCACTTGTGTACAGAGACATGGGGTTGCAGGAAAAAAGCGTGCTGGAGTCAGAGACCAGGACATGAGCCAAGTGCCCGCTTCTGGGCCTCATTTCTCCAGCAGTGGCTTCTACTCTCGCTACCTCTCTCCTTTTTTTTTTCTTTTGTAAAACTGGGGGCCTGGGGATGTAGCGATAGTACAGTGGAGGGTTCGATCCTGTGCACCCCGAGCACACCAGGAGTGACAGCTGAGCACAGAGCCCGAAGTAAGCACTGAGCACTGCTGAGTGTGGCTCTCAAACAAACAGAATTATTTCACACACAGAACTGGGGGCGGTTGTGCATGCTGATGAGGTGAAGACTGGTGGGTGCTGCTGTGGGGCAAGAACCTGGGTGCAGGGGTGCTAGCTCTGATGTTTCTTGCCCTGGAACAAATTTAGGAGCATGGTAATGAGGTGAGATTGGAGGACAGAGGTTGGAGTAGGTGACAGTGGGGAGCTTCTCCCCCCCTCCTCCGCCCATCTCCCTACAGTTTTGGGTTGGGCCATACCTCCTGCATGCGGATGAGGAAGGAGTCGATAAAGTTCCGTGGGGAGTTGGGGTCCAGGGTGCGCTGGTTCTGTTCCACCTTCTTGGCTATGAAATCCTCCAGCCCCTGCAGTTCCTTAAAGGCTTGTTGCTGTGGCCCTGGCAGGTGCTTCATGACTGGGTAGAACATCTCATAGAGCTGCATGGAGGTAGGAGGGAAGGCAGGCTGAAGGAAGCTGACAGAACCAGGCAGACCCCAAGAGGAGAGGACCTGTCTGAGTGCGAGGTAGAAAGGAGTTGAAAGGCATTGATCCATCCAACCAAGGGGTCAGGTGATTTATTGATGGATTAATTTTGGGGCCAGAAAAAAAATCCTTCATTGATTGATTCTATTTGTGGGCTGATGTACAAGGCAAGCACCTTACCCCCTTTACTATTTCTCTGGTCCCACAAATTTTATATATGTATTTTTTTCTTTTGTCTTTAGTCCATATCTGATTGTGCTCAGGCCTCACTACTGGGTCTGTTATCAATCCCTGGCAGGGTTCCGAGTAACATTTCGGATTCTGGGGATTGAACCTGGGTTTTGCGGGGACCTTGGGCTACCTGGCCTGTGGACGTGGCTGTGAACTGGAAGCTGCCCAGCATCATGCGCAGGAGTGACAGAAACTCTTTGTCCTCATAGTCAAATCGGTCCCCAAAGACAATGGAGCTGATGACATTGGAGACAGTGCGGCTCAGGTAGAAGGTGGGATCGATGAATGCACCTGTGGATGGATAAGGGGGCGTTGGGGCTGTCACCTGGGTGATAAGAGGTTGCTCAGAGGACTCAGAGGGAGCTCTGGGGGAGGAGCAGAGACCCAGGGTTGGAACCCCCCAGGGTTACCCCAACCTAGACCCCTTCTAGTGCCAGCTTTCCCCATCACTCCACTTCCTCCTCTCCTTCCCTCTTTCTCTTCTTCCCTTTCCCACTCCTCCTCCCTCACCATCTTCCCCTCCTTGGCCTCTCCCCCATTCCCTCCATCTCTTCTTCCTTAGAGCCCCTACTTCTCCCTCTCCCCTGTTCTCTCCTTCCTCCGTTAACTCCCTCCTCTCTCCTCCCCTTCCCCTCTACTTCTTTTTTTCTTTCTTTCTCCCCCTCCTTGGCCTCCCTACCTCTCCTCCTCTACCTCTCCTTCCTCCTCTCCCCTTTCCTCTGTCCCCTGTCCCTTCTCCCTTCTTCCCTCTCTCTCTCCTCCTTGCTTCTCCTCTTCCTCATCCTCCTCTCTATCTCCCTCCTCCCTCCCTTTTCCTCTCCCTCCCATCCTCCCTTTCTCTCGGGCCCTTTCTCCTCTCCTTCTCTCCCCCACCTTTCCCTCTGCCCTCTTGCCTCCATTTCCTCCAGCTCCACCTCCCCCCTCTCCTTCTCCCGCTTTGTCCTCTTCCTTTTCCATCTTTCTCCTCCCTCCTTTGCTCCCCTTCCCCCTCCCCCTCCTCTCCTTCTCTCCCCTTCTTCACGCCCCCCCCCCCCCCACTCCTCTTCTCCTCTCCTCCCCAGGCACTGGCCTCTCCCCGCAGCTCACCCTGAGTGCCACGGATGGCTTCGATGAGAAAGCCTGCCTCCTCCTGGATGCGCTCCTCTATGCCGCGCTTGCCCACGCCGAAGTCCCGCAGTGTGGTGATGGAGAAGCGCCTCAGCTGCTTAGCACGCTCGCCACTGCTGAAGACCACACCTGCGGGAAGGCGTGAGCGTGGGGGTGGGATGGCGGGGATCGCAAGGGGCGCGGGGCGGTGTGCGGGGAAGGTGGTCTTGTATGGAGCCGGGCCAGGAGCCAGGCAGGCGCACAGAGGCTCACAGGGCACAGGGCAAGCGCAGGAGGGAGAGAAATGCTCGGGCTGCCAGGAGCGGGTAGAGACGGGCACCAGTTACCCAGTGGGACGAGTTTTAACGCAGAGGGGGCCAGACACAGACGCAGAGATGGTGGGAAGGGGAAAAAGGACAGAGACAGGGAGCGGGGGATCTGAGTTCCAAAGCAGAAACTCCAGAGAGAGAGAGAGACAGAGATAGGAACAGGGGACCTGGGGGAGGCCACCGGGAATAGAGGGGAATCCTGGGGAAACTGAGGCTCAGTGCTATTCCTGGCTGCTGCCCCTTACCGTAGCCTTTGGCAATCCAGTCGAAGGTGGCCTGCTCTCCTCGGCCGCTGAACTCCTCCGCCTGGTCCACCAGGGCCTCCTTCACCGCGTCGTGGCCACACAGCACCACCACGCGCCGGGCGCCCAGGTACACGGTGAACACGGGCCCATAGCGGTCCCTGAGCTGGTGGATGGGAGTGTGGGGAGAGGGGGACTCAGAGGGAGCAGGCCCGCCCAGCACAAGAGCTGACCTATCCTGAGCCCCCATGTTCCAGCTGGTCTGCCCTCCCTCAGCCCCCTCATTCCCGCGAAGTCTGCACCTTCATGAGAGAATTGTACATCTGCTCGGTGTTCAGCTGTAGGTAGTTCCCGATGAAGGGTAATGGGGTGGGCCCAGGGGGCAGTTTCCCTGCCAGCTTCCTCTGTTGCCACACTGACATCAACACCATGACCGTCAGGCAGGCCAGCAGGGCCACCAGGAGCAGCCCGGAGGCCAGCATGGTGGCTCTGAGAGTAACGGCCAGTGGGGGCTGACTGGTGCCGGGACCAATGCCTTTATACTACTTGGGCGTGCAGAGTGGACGCCTGTCCTGGTTATGTAACGTTGTTCCACCTCCCAGCTCCATCCCTCACCATTCTCCCCACCTCTTCTTGGCTCCCATCCCAAAGGGGTGGAGGAGGGAGCCAGGGCCAGTTTGCAGGGTGTGACCTGCAGGATTCAGGGGCCACTTCACAGCAGTGTACTTGTGGGAATGTGGGCAACCAGGGCTATAGAGAAATCCCAGAATTGAAGATCTTGGAATGTTTGCAGACAGGTGCCACCACCTTTCTCCCCGTCGGGATTTTGGATTTTGGAAGTATGTTAGTGTGAGAGGGGACTCCAGAGTGATTGGATTCTCAGTAAAGAAGAACCCAAAGATCTGGATTTGAGGGTGTTGGGATGAGACAGGTTGTGTTGGGGAATTGTGGGGTGTTTTTATTGGGTATGAGAAGTGATGTGGATTTGAAGGTCACCAGAAGCCAGAGAAATAGCTTAGTGAACTGAGTGCATGCCAGGCTTGCTCAGTTGAGAGGAGGGGTGTCAGGGTTCTACCCTCGGGACTGCCTCTAACCTCCAACTTCCCCGAAAGATGGCTTTCAAGAGGTGAGATTCTATGGAATGAGGGTTTTGAGGTCCCAGAGATTCTCAGGAGGGTAGATGTGGAACTCTTGTAAGTGGTATATGTGGGGAATCTAGCTGGATCAACCTCTGACCCCTTACCCTTGATCTCCTTTTGATTTGGACGGGGGTCCAGAATCCTCATCACAACCTCAAAGTGAGCCGATCGCATAGAAATTCTCATCTAGAATTGAGAAAGGGCTAAAGTCCAGGACCAGAATTGGCTGGGACTTTCCATTACTTTCCCTGACAGAAGGTTCACAGATGGTGTCGGTTAGTCTAGTCAGCCTGGCCAGTTTTTGGGAAACGAGAAGCCCCCACCCCTATTCCCCTGACCCCCAAACCATCTCTGAATGGTGCCAGAATCTACTGGAGAAGACCTGTTTTCCACGATTATTTTCCAGAAAACACCGGGATGGACTCTCCACAACTGCTCTTCATGTTACTCTCATATTCTCTGCTTTATCCCAGGCCAGATGGCAGAGGGTAGGTGTGACATGGGATACCTCTATTTCCCCTCCTTTGCATCTTTTTTCTGGACTTGGATTTCCCAGCGGTGGGTAGGGAATTTTCTGGGGGAGAAAAGATTCTGCTTGAGTGTGAAGGCTGTTTTGGGGTGCTCTTAGCAGGGGGAGAAGGAACAATGGCAGGAGTGTTCTGGGTAAATGTCAAAGTCTGGGAGAGAAGGTCCAAAGGGTGGGGGACTGAGGGGATGCTGGGGGTGGGGGTTGGTCTAGTTGTCCCTTCATCATTGCCTGAAGGCCCCTTAACCACCTCTTTCTTGTCTTCCTCACATTGCAGCCTAGACCTTTAGGATATTCCCTTGGGATATCTCAAGGGCACCACAGGTGAAAAAATGAGTTCACAGCATGAGACTAGAAGGCTAACTGGCAGCACAGGGGGCCCCAGGAAGGAAGTGAGGTCAGAGGAACCTGTCAGAAATAGGTTGAGGGGCCGGAGTGATAGTACACAGGGGAGGACACTTACCTCACATTGGCAGAGTGGGTTCGATCCCCAACAACCCAAATTGTCCCCCGAACCCACCAGGAGTGATTCCTGAGCACAGAGCCAGGAGTAAGCCCTTCGCACTGCTGGGTGTGTTCCTTGGCAAAAAAAAAAAAAAAAGCATAAGAAGGCATCAAGCAAATTAAGGTCTGGATTTCCAAAACAACTATTGGAATAGTTATTTAATAATTATATAGCACTGTAACACTGTCCTCCCATTGTTCATTGATTTGCTCGAGTGGGCACCTGTAACCTCTCCATTGTGAGACTTGTTACTGTTTTTGGCATATCGAGTATGCCACGGGGAGCTTGCCAAGCTCTGCTGTGCAGGCAGGATACTCTCGATAGTTTGCCAGGCTCTCTTGACTGCGTGAAAGGCAAATGCCCTACCTGCTGTGCTATTGCTCCAGCCCAATAGTTATATAAAATATAAAATTCTAAAATCTGAAGGTCAGAGATATAAAAGCTGAGAATCTAGTCCAGATTAAAGACAATTGAAGGCAGATAGCTAAACTTATAGCTAATATGTTAAATAATTTTTTTATATTGCATTCAAGTTTATGCTTGGATCTCATCATGGTAATAATCATATCTTACCTGTTATTAATAAAACTTTTTAAGAAAGTTCATTCTTCCCCCATTTAATTATTCTTCTTTGTTTTTTGGCTTTTGGGTCATGCCTGGCGATGCTCAGGAGTTGCTCCTGATTCTGCACTCAGAAATTAGTCCTGGTGTTGTTCGGGGAACCATATGGGATGCCAGGGATCAAACCCGGGTTTGCTGCATGTAAGGCAAATCCCTAGCTCCTGTACGATTACTCTGACCTCTCCCCATATAATTCTGATCATAAATGGATGTGGAATAGTTTCAAATGCTTTCTCAACATCTACTTACATCATCATAATGATTTTTCATTTTATCGTTATAGTGTATTATATTGTGTCCCTGAAATAAACTTCACCTGGAGATAAAGCATACATACACACACACACACACACACACACACACACCAAACTTTCAAATAGACTAAATAACTAAATTTAAGAAATGGAGGAAAATGAGCAATTGCTCAAAGAAAAGGTATGATTAGGACCGTTGGTGGACATCTTTTTTTTTGTGATTGCTAAATTATAATTTTGACCTATGTAAATAAGGAAAATAAAACCATTTAATACAATATAATAAAATGCTTATTATCATTCACATACATAAGTTTTCAACTCTGGAATTTATTGTATATTGCGTTAAATTTTATTTTATATTTGGATCTCTTTATGGTAATAATCATGCCTTATCTGCCATTAATAAAACTTTTATAGAAATTCCGTGCTAATATATTTTGGAGTTTACATGAAGTAGGTCAGGCCAACTTATGTCAATATTCCCCCCTATACTTTATGTAAACTGTAAACGCTGTGCTTTCTATAGCAATAATTGTTGGAAATGATCACTTTGGACAAGAGATGAGTGCTGAAATTAGGTAAAGGGATATGTATGATAACCATTCAGTATATGTGATAATCTAGCAAACTATAATGCCCAACAGGGGAGGAAGGAAGGGAGAGAGTGAGAGAGAGAAAGAGAGAGAGCGCGACAGAGACAATAACAGAGTCAGAGAGACAGAGAGAGATAGAGACAGAGAAGTGACTGCCAAGAGGCAGCCTGAGGGGGCTGGAGGGAGGAAAACTGGGAACATTGATAGTGGGAAATGTATACTGGTGAAGGGAATGGTGTTGGAACACTGTATGACTGAAATCCAATCATGAACAACTTTGTAACTGTGTACCTCATAGTGATTCAATTATTGAAAAATAACACATTCAAATACTAAAAAAATCAAAATGAAACACTGATTTGCAAACTTGTTCATGAGAATTTGTTATAGGTGTTTAATATTCCAATTGGTGGACATCTTAATCCAGACTGTGGGTTTGATAATAGATAATGCTACGATTGCAGATTTTGGTCATTGCTTTCTGGTTATGGAAGATTATCTTTATATGGTAGGTACCTGAGCTCAGGGGAAAGACATATATCATATTTGACGTCTGGACTTTTATGAAAAAGCAGCCTTGAGAGAGAGAGGCAGAGAGAGAGAAAGAGAGAGTGAGAAGAGGCCAGGGCTGAAGTGGTTGGACAGTAGGAAAGGCACTTGCCTTGCACACGACCAGTCCTCATTCACCCTCCAGCATTACATAGGGTCCCCAAGTCAGGAGTAAGCCTCGAGTACTGCTAGTTGTGGCCATTCCTCCTGTCACCCCCCAAAATGATGAAAGAGGCTGATTAGCTTTTATGTCTCTATGACACAGGTTCTGAACAAACTTTTAACAACTGCTGAAATGTCGCAATTGGCGAAGCCTTTATGAACTTAATCAAAGCAGGGGCTCAAGACAGAATTGTACATGGAGTTCTCACTAGACTTTTTTGGTTTTGTTTTGTTTCCAGCCATCCCCATCCCTGGTGACGCTCAGGGGTTACTCCTGATGATGTTCAGGGGATCATATGCGATGCCGGGGATCGAACTTGGGTTAGCTGCATGCAAGACAAATGACCTCCATACAGTACTATGTATGCAGTTGTAGACTTAAATAAGACACTTCCTATATGGGGTCAGAGCAATAGTGCAGCAAGGAGAGCATTTGCCTAGCATGCAGCCGACCAGGGTTTGATCCCTGCCATTTTATATGGTCCCCCACGCACTGATAGGAGTAATTTCTGAATGCACCTCCAGGAGTCAGCCCTGAGCATCGCTGGGTGTGCTGCAAAAAGCCAAAATGCCAAAAAAGAAAAGACACTTCCAATAATCATAAGGCAATTGCTGACTCAAAGGTAGAAGATAAAATCAGCCTACTTAGTCACTGGAGTATTGTCCTATCGACATGGCTACTGTCACAGCTCCCAATATCCTGATCTATTCCCCAGTGAGCTTCCATGCTTTAATAAAATCACACACCAATTTATAGGATAAACTAGAAAAATTATTCAATTCCTTTAATAATCTATTTTACCAAGATCAAATTACAAAGAGAGACAAGTACACTTGCCACCATACAACGTGGTGAGTGTAGTCTATGAGTCTGAAGGCTCCCTCTGCTGGGATCACCCAGCACAAGATCAAATAATAGAACATTTGTCTGATAGAGAGAGACTTTTGAAAAGATGAAGCAGTCTCAGATTCTGTCATTCATCTCCACAAATCTTCAGAATCTCTGGGGGATAATCAGGAGAGGTCTGGAGGGAACATTCTCGAACACATCCTTGTGGTATACATAGGAGACCCAAACAGTTTTTGAGAATGTTCCCCTAGTAAAAACACTGCCATATTGGCCTGAGAGGTACACAAACAAGACAAAATAGAAGCATTCTGACAGTTT